TGTGTGAAATTGTCAACCAAACATATTTGTTCATTTGTCATACATGAACATGAAACAACTTAAACAAAATCCATGTTGGGATTCAGGAAAAATCAAATAAAATCTTGCCTTAGGAAAATTTTGAGACTACAAAAAAAACTATTCACGGATGGTATGATAAAGAAAGGATTTGGAGAGTTAATTGCATTTTTTAGAACTTAAAAGAGAATCAATCTAAGAACTAACAAACTTCATAAAGCAATACGCTTGAATCCAATATTATGTCACTTCCGTCAGTGCACATGCATTCGGAAAAGAATTTCAATGTATTCAGGAAGCATATTTCCTTGTAATCTGAAGCAAATTTTATTCACCATTTATTATGATTTAGGAACAAAATGCTTTTGATTTCCATATGTTAGAAAGCATATCTTAATGCAGTGTGTGGATTTTAGAATAAAAAGAGAGAGTGAGAATCCAAAGTATGTAACAAGCAAAACAAATCTAGGGATTGAGGGGGGGATGGGGAAGATAAAAGTGTTATGTGATTTCAAGGAAAAAATTGACCTGGTATGTGAACAACAGTCAAAATAGAATCCTAGTGGAGCAAGAACATTGAACATGTTTCCGGATCAACAAGGCGTCATGAACATAAAACCAACGACAAATTTAAAGTAGAAATAAACAGAGATAGAGGCGTCCATAGGCAGCCGCGTTGGAATAAGGGCGTAGGTGTGTGCATGCTCAATTTTGAGTTTTCCTCAAAAGAAATGACATGGGAAAGCTTCATGGTAGCCCTACACAACTCCTATAGGAGGCACCGCCGGATATGGGGCCGGGAAGCGTAGACCTGAGCAGGAATCACTATGAATAGTCATCCAGTGAAGGTCCCAAATCCTGAGCAGGGGTGCCGATTGAGCTCGTGCGCATGAGAGAGAGAGAGAGAGAGAGAGAGAGAGAGAGAGAGAGAGAGAGGAACGTCCCACTAGATGTGGGCAAAGCTACACGGTGTTGGCTGGTGCTAGTTTGAGAGCATCCCACAGCCATCACCCAGTCGCATCTTCCGCGAGCCAAAAAAAAATTACATAGGCTACCCACACGGATAACACTTGATGGGCTAGACCATTATCTAAGGTTGTCGTGCTACATCCATCCAAATAGTTCCCCTGCCCATTGTTATTTTAGCATTAAAAAGGCTAGGAGGAAGAGCCCTATACTCTCCAACAGTATGCAAAATCCCGATACCCCTCAACCCTGGACAAGATGATCATTTCGAGCATAACACCAATCTTATCCACTAATCGTACACAAACATCAGACATCAATACCTCATCATTCATGCAAATATTGAGTTTGATATATGAATCACAATCTCTAGCTATATATTTTCCTATGATTCACTTTTCATGGCTATGCAGGGTTTGGTGGCCCTTTATTTTTGTAGATACAGTAGTACAAAAGAGTTCAAGTTTTCCTCTGTCCACATGTACTCCAGCTCAATAAGCCCCAACTAGACACATTTCTGCTCCCAAACAATATATTTTGTAACATGTCATCATGTTGATGAAGAACACATGTTTTTCTGCTCTAAAAAACACTTGTTAAGTGTCTGCACATGTCATTATTTTTGTATTAGATGGACTAATAAGGTGCATTCCCGCAAAAAATATAAGATGCATGGATTAAGATTGCTATGTAGAACGCATGTTTTAAATCCACAAAGAAACCAGGTCGAGCGAGCGAGCGAATCGGGGCATATGAAATCACGCTAACGAGCGAATCGAAGGATGATGTCATAATGTGATTCCCTACTGACGGACAGGGAGTCACTCTGGAGCGTCTTAACGTAAAATCAATGATATATGACTTACATGTTCAATACTTAAAGCACATCTAGATGTGCTTTAGCAAAACTGTAATAATGATGCGTTTCTCCCGGGCCCGGACTAAATGCATGCACACATCCTTGTGTCCCCATGGTAACGTTACAATAACAAACGAGAGGCTTATTCGAAAATTTGAATGGGAAAGTGATGAGAAGATGCATGAGATCGGCGGCATTGGTGGTGAAAAATGGAAACATGGGACTGGTGGTTACAGACTGGAAGGAGGTGCTCGATGGATCTGCCAGAATCAGTGTAGGAACGTTAAGTGTGGGGGTTACCATGCATCTAGCTGTATTCGCTCCCAGCCGCGCGTTCACCACCCACCACGCCAGCAATGCCACGTCTCGTTTCCTTTCTTCTTCACTACACAATTTGATTCGTTCCCTCCTTGTTCCTCCCAAGGACCCAAGGTTTGTATCTCTGTTTCTCTCAGTTACGGGAGGTTTTGGCTTCTTCAATGTTGTCACGCGCGCAGCTAAGTATCTTTGATCAATTTGCAGGTGAAAGCAGAGAGGGGAGACAAATGGTGAAGATCTGCTGCATCGGCGCGGGCTACGTGGGTGGCCCGACGATGGCGGTGATCGCGCTTAAGTGCCCGGACATGGAGGTGGTGGTGGTGGACATCTCCGAGGCGCGTATCGCCGGCTGGAACAGTGAGCGCCTCCCCATCTACGAGCCCGGCCTGGACGACGTCGTCAAGCAGTGCCGCGGCCGCAACCTCTTCTTCAGCACCGACGTGGAGCGCTACGTGGGCGAGGCGGACGTCGTCTTCGTCTCCGTCAACACCCCCACCAAGACCCGCGGCCTCGGCGCCGGCAAGGCCGCCGACCTCACCTACTGGGAGAGCGCCGCGCGCATGATCGCCGACGTCTCCCGCTCCGACAAGATCGTGGTGGAGAAGTCCACCGTGCCCGTCAAGACCGCCGAGGCCATCGAGAAGATCCTCGCCCACAACAGCCGCGGCGTCCGCTACCAGATCCTGTCCAACCCGGAGTTCCTCGCCGAGGGCACCGCCGTGCGGGACCTCTTCGCGCCCGACCGCGTCCTCATCGGCGGCCGCGAGACCCCCGAGGGTCAGGCCGCGGTGAAGGTCCTCAAGGACGTGTACGCGCGCTGGGTCCCCGAGGACCGCATCATCACCACCAACCTCTGGTCGGCCGAGCTGTCCAAGCTCGCCGCCAACGCCTTCCTCGCGCAGCGCATCTCCTCCGTGAACGCCATCTCCGCGCTGTGCGAGGCCACCGGCGCCGACGTCACCGAGGTGGCCTACTCCATCGGCAAGGACTCGCGCATCGGCCCGCGCTTCCTCTCCGCCAGCGTCGGCTTCGGCGGCTCCTGCTTCCAGAAGGACATCCTCAACCTCGTCTACATCTGCGAGTGCTACGGCCTCCCCGAGGTGGCGGACTACTGGCGGCAGGTCATCGGGATCAACGACTACCAGAAGAGCCGCTTCGTCAACCGCGTCGTCTCCTCCATGTTCAACACCGTCGCCGGGAAGAAGGTGGCCGTGCTGGGGTTCGCCTTCAAGAAGGACACCGGCGACACGCGCGAGACGCCGGCCATCGACGTGTGCCGGGGCCTGCTCGGGGACAAGGCCGTCGTCAGCATCTACGACCCGCAGGTGACGGAGGAGCAGGTGCGGCGCGACCTCGCCATGAACAAGTTCGACTGGGACCACCCGCGCCACCTGCAGCCCGTGGGCGAGCCCGCCGATCAACCCGTCGCCGTCACGTCGGACGCGTACGAGGCCGCCCGCGACGCGCACGCCGTCTGCATCCTGACCGAGTGGGAGGAGTTCAGGAACCTCGACTACGGGCGGATGTACGACATCATGCAGAAGCCGGCTTTCGTCTTCGACGGCCGCAACATCGTCGACCCGGAGAAGCTCCGGGACATCGGGTTCATCGTCTACGCCATTGGCAAGCCGCTTGACCAGTGGCTCAGGGACATGCCAGCCGTCGCCTGAGAGGCGATGCGCACTGACAGCCGCGCGTCGGCGAGCGTTCTTCTTAATCGATAGAGTTTTGTAGCCAAAAATGCTACATCGATGGGCTCATTGCAGGGAATTCACGGACCTTCCAGCTAACTAAGGGCATGTACAATGGTTGATAAAATAGTCTTATCTTAAGTCTTGCATGTGATTTAGAGATGACAAAAAAATTTGTCTACAATGGGTCATATCTTAGCCTTATCTTCAATAACTAGTAATTCCTAAAAATGTGGTGAGACATATTGTACTAAGAGATCACCTCTTGTCTTCTCTTAAATAAGAGAAGACAAGCCACTACTAGAAATACCACTACTAATGGCGCACCTAATATGGCCATTAATGGCGCATCACTGGTGCGCCATTGATAGCACGCCATTAGTAATTTTTACTAATGGCGCACCACCTGGTGCGCCATTAGTAGCATATGCGAGGGTGCGCCATTAGTATGCCTCCCAGGGGGCATGTATACCCAGGTGCTTTGGCATACTAATGGCGCACCACCTCTGGATGCGCCATTAGTAACCGCAGCATACTAATGGCGCACTACCCGGTGATGCGCCATTAGTATGCACTGTCATACTAATGGCGCACTGTCATGTGATGCGCCATTAGTATGAATATTAGGTTTTTTTTTATTTTTTTATTTTCTGTTTTTTGCACAGGTTACAAAATGTATAATTTGACAAAATATAGACAACACACATCAATAATAGATTCATCAAATACAATAGAAGATTAGTCTTTGAATACAATTCATCATATTAGTCTCCGAATATAATTCATCATATTAGTCTCCGAATTGAAAAGACCGAACAAAGATAGAACATTATATTACAAGTCTCGAGACCGCGAGTAGCGAGTTTATCTTCGCATTACAAGTCGATATCGATCATCTAAACTACCATCACATAGAAGAGAGCTGCGGTCATCACGATGAGCATCATCACGATGAAACTCGTCTTCATCCGGTTCCTCCAACGCTCCCTCCCCTCTCCCGCTAGATAGCGGGCGTATCTAGATTCGGCCTCGGCCCTAGTGGTGTACCCTTTGTAACTGTTACCGCTGAATCGGTGAACCTGTCTCCGACACTCCTCCGAGTCATCGTAGACTCCGGGAACCTTACCCTTGTACACGACATACGTCGGCATCGCTATGCACTAGCCAAACGAAACGTTAGTACCAATTCACAGACAATACATAAGCAATATATAAGTATGCAACAGAACGAT